GGGGATTCGAACCGCTGACCTTCTGATCGGCAAGTCCTAGGCTCTGTGGTTTAACCCACAGCGCCACCCGCGCCCCTGCTCATAGAGTAGACCCAATGAAATTTATGGAACTAAGCTAGCAATGCACATTAATTGCAATGACTCACATCCTCCCCACCTGCTGAATTTCTGCCTATTAGAAGGATGGTAAATGTAGAAACCCGGCCAAAGAAAGAAAGAGCTGGAGATAGCAACAACTTCTGTTTCTCTCCCTAACAGAGCTTTGCCTCCAACATCCCTTTCCATATAGCTGCTAATGCTAATTCATTCACACACACACACACACACACACACACACACATCATAGTCAGACAAGTTCATTCAGCAACTAGGGTTACATCTTTTCTTGTCACAGATTTGAGGCTTTTTTAAAAAAAGCCATTTGTTATCTATAGCATTCATAGAATCACAGAATTGTAGAGTTGGAAGGGACCCTGGGGGTCATCTCGTCCAACCCCCTGCCACGCAGGAATCTTAATTAAAGCATCATTTAAAGCACTCTTATACCACTTTAACAGTCACGGAGTCCCCCAAAGAATCCAAGTTTGTTTGGAGACCCCCTAGTCTTCTCCTAGAGATATAATCCCCGGATTCTTGGGCCAGTCCAGTCCTGCCTCTTTAAACAGACTAGAATGGCTTCCCTGAGCAGGTCACCATTTGCAGTTTCAGCCTTTGCCTAGAAGAAAGTCACAAAGTCCTAGCGATTCTGCCAGTCTCTGCTTCCTCCCCCTGCATTTGTGATATAAGGGGTAACAAGGATGGTCTGCAATAGAGGGATATAAGAAGTGCTGAAAAAAATACTGATTTCTTTTTTAAAAAACCCACAACCAATTCTAACAATTGTAGGTGGCATGTGTCATCATAAAATATGCATTTAGTTGTGTGTGACAAGGGTCCGGGGGGGGGGGAGCATCTTTCCAAAAACTATTAATTGGCAGGATTAATAGAGGACACCTCGTATTCACAGGCACCAGAGCTGCTGCTTCTGGGACAAAATGCTAATAACAGAAGTTCCCCTGGTGCCTTCATTATACACCTTTAGGCGCCAAGCAAAAACATTCCTTTTTAACCAGGCCTTTGGTTGATTTGATTGACATCTTATGTCCTTTTAAAATGTGGTTTTATTTTTTGGGGGGCAGGGTTATTGGTTTTGTGGTTTTATACTTTGATTTTGTTCTATGAACCGCTCTTAGACCTCCGGGTATAGGGTGGTATATAACTTAATTAATTAATTAAGTAAGTAAAAAAATAGAAGGCAGTGGACCAAAACAAAGAAATCCCCCTTCCCCAAATGCCTGGCCCCGTGTTTCATCTTACAAAACAAAACAAAACAAACAAAACAAAACAAACAAAACAAAACAAAACAAACAAACAAAACAAAACAAAACAAAACAAAACAAAACACACTCATTAGGCTGCTGCTCCACTATTGGCTATCCTGGAGCATCAATCAGCCAGCTATGAAGGGGAGGGTGGCCTCAACCTCCTAAGTCCCTACCATGTTTAGTTGTGCATGAGACAAGCAAGTTGGCGTGAGCGCCGAAATGCCCACCTGGCCAACCCCTAGGTATGGTTCTGCCAGCAGGGCTCTTATGGCGCCATTAAAAAGTTTTGGAAATAGGAAGTTAGCAGGCAAAATGAAATAACAACACAGCACTTAAAGGATCATGACATGCTGCTGAACCCCTGTTTCGTATTGCTCAACAGTGGATGGAAACAGGACAGTTTAGCTATAAAGATAATATCGTTAGTCTGTTACTTGCAGCAAAACTGTAGGTGGCTCAGAGTTGGAAGAAAACTCAGGCAAATACTTGAGTCGTAGCTCAGTGGCTGAGTAAAGTGTTTGGACATATACCAGCAATTCCAAAATCAGCAAAAGCTGCATGTGATCCAAAACAGGAAATTCATAGGGCCCCTTTCCTTGGTTAATCAAATGGCAAAACTGGATACATGTCAAACGATATATATGTTGCGATAAGGGTTGAGGATGTTTCCGAAAGATGTATATGCTAGGGCAGGGGTCTGCAACCTTTAAGACAAAAAGAGCCACTTGGACCCGTTTCCGAAAAAAAAACAACAACTGGGAGCCGCAAAAACATTGCAACATTTAAAACAAATATAACACTGCATATATTGTTTCTGGCCTTAATGCTATATATACAGGATCGTGCAGTCAGCTGTCAATCTCAAGAAAAAAGGACAAATTAATAGCTAATTAAAATATTTAATTTACAACCAGGTAACCAGGTTAATGGGACTTTTGCTCCTGAACCTCAGTGCTCAGTGTCTGCACATCAGGGCTGTAAGACGTCACCTTCATTTTCACACAGGCTTGCAAGCTGTCATCTGTGAGGCGTGATCGGTGTTTGTTTTTAATATAGTTCATGTTGGAGAAGACCTGCTCACATACATATGTGGAAGAGACCACAAGGGCCATCGAGTCCAACCCCCTGCCAAGCAGGAAACACCATCAGAGCACTCCTGAGATATGGTTGTCAAGCCTCTGCTTAAAGACCTCCAAAGAAGGAGACTCCACCACACTCCTTGGCAGCAATTCACCAAACTTTCACCAAACTTTCCCCTGCTTAAGTTTAAAAAGGGGCTTCGCTTAAAAAGGGGCTTCAGGCAACTAACTCCACGTGGAATTCCACGCGACCGCGACTGCATAATCAATGCCACAAAATGCCAAAGAAAATTAACCAGGGCCCCAGTGAACCATAAATCATAATCAGTGCCTGATGTAAATAATAATTAATAATGAGGGCCCAATGTCATCCTCGTCATTATAAAAATAATCATAATCATAAAAATAATCACAAATTCCACACGACCGCAACTTGCTATGCCCAATAACCAATGCCCCAAAATGCCATAGAAAATTAATCAGGGCCCCAGTGTACCATAAATCATAATCAGTGCCTGATGTAAATAATATATAATAATGAGGCATTCGTCATTATAAAAATACCTTTTTTGACACTTTTTATTATTTCTTTGTTTGACCCCTCAGAATTACTCCTCCTCATAGAAATAAACATTAAATTAACAAGTTACCTTTTTTTGAGTGTGTGTTCTTCACTCCCCTTCAAAACAGTGACCAGTGTATATGCCCCCTTTCAATGCAGCCTGCTTACAAAGGCGGGACGACAAAGACCAGCAATAAGCTGTTGCATAACGTTCCCCAAAAACTTTCCCCTGCTTAAGTTTAAAAAGGGGCTTCAGGCAACTAACTCCCACGTGGAATTTCCTATAGTAAGATGGCGGCCGCCTCAGAAGACCACATGGGCAGATAAGATGGCTGCTGGGACGATCCGGTTACCCAGCAACAGCACAGCTGATTCCTACGCTTTTGAAAGCAGCCGGCAAAGCAAGTGTTGGAGCTCCGAAGCCACAATGCTGCGCATGTGACCAAATAGCGAGGACTTACTTTGCTAGAGACAAGCCCCGACGCTACCACAAGCCTCCCTCTCTTCGCGCTGCCCAGCCTCCCAAGAAAAAAACCCCACCTCAAACAGTCACAAAGCACAAATCAGTAAACATAATAAACATTAAATTAACAAGTTACCTTTTTTTGAGTGTGTGTTCTTCACTCCCCTTCAAAACAGTGACCAGTTTTGAACAGTGGCTTCAGGCAACTAACTCCTCCGCCTCCTCCCCTCGCGCCCTCCCCTCGTGCCCTCCCCTCGCCCCCGCCCCTCGCCCCCGCCCCTCGCCTCCTTGCCTCGCGCCCTCCCCTCGAGCCCTCCCCTCGCCCCTCGCCTACTTCCCTCGCGCCCGCCCCTCGCCTCCTTCCCTCGCGCCCTCCCCTCACCCCCGCCCCTCGCCCCGCCCCTCGCCTCCTTGCCTCGCGCCCTCCCCTCGAGCCCTCCCCTCGCCCCTCGCCTACTTCCCTCGCGCCCGCCCCTCGCCTCCTTCCCTCGCGCCCTCCCCTCGCGCCTCCGCCCCGGAGCCGCAGCAAAGGCTTTAAAGAGCCGCATGCGGCTCTGGAGCCGCAGGTTGCCGACCCCCGTGCTAGGGTAAAGCATGCATAAGCATGCATATGTTAGTCAAAGTAACTAACTAACTAACTAACTAACAGCGTGTGCAAAATTGCATGCAAAATTACAAAGATGTGGTATATTGGGAGAAATTTGCAGGAAAGTGCTGGTGAATTTTCATGAGGATTTAATTTTTTTCAAGAAAGAACAGAGGCGGAAATCTGGGGGACTGAACTGAAGAATGGAAAAATGAGAAAATGAAATGGATAATTTGCTCATCTTTGTGACAGCATGTTTATGCTGGGATAAACTTGCCTGAGCTATAGAACTATTGGAGACAGGGAAGTAGACAGGAGGAGAAAACCCCCAGGAATTGTTTTGGTTCTTTATATTGAAGTTAATATAATAAATGTTGCAGAAACAACAACAATAATAATAACAAAAAATGCAAGACCTAGTTTAATATGGGACAAGCAGCTCACCCCACTTAAGAGTTAGTTAAATACAACCCTGATATCTCAGTTTTCTGTTTACAAGAAAAGGCGCTAAAACAAAATTCGTATAAAATGAACAAATACTATAAAAATAACTATTGACGTAACAGAATCCGTAACAGAACTGTAGAGGCAAGGAGGCTAGCAAGAATCACTAGAAAACAAAACCAAGACCCAAAGGCTGTCACAGGACAGAAACATTTGATTCACTGCAGTGGAAACCCAGACTATAATATAATGGGGATAAAACAATTAGCCATCTTGATAACAGTTACAGTCATGAGGGTGTGCTATAAATAGATAATTATAATAAATGCTAGTTAGTTAGAGAGTCAGATGAGTCCAGTTTGTCTTTCAAAAGTGGAGTACATAAATAGGTGCTAGCCGGGAAAATGAGAGAGGTGGTGATGTCTCTGATGAACGCAAAATGCCCTCAGAAAAAGGGGATTCCTCTCACCCGGCTCTGCCTGGAATAAAGGAAGACCGGACCATGATGCGAGCATCGGAATCTCTGATTACTTTGGTTCCGCGTAAGATTCTGCGCTTGATGAAACTGCCCTGGTCCCGCAAGCGCTACCCTCCTGGACCCCTTCGACTTCCCATCGTCGGAGGCATGTGGCGGTTTGGGGTCATGCTCTCCCTGGATACGTTAATGAAGGTACTTCTTTCAAAATACTTCTTCAGCTGAAAAACAGGAAGAGCAAAAAGGCATTGCAAATTATTTCCTTTATTTGAGAACTGTGGATAATGATTCACCTGTGAAATCTAGGGCTTGAGCGTCTTGGCAGATTTTTCTGCCTGCTGTGGCAATTGCAATGTGCTGCATTGTTTAAATTGTTTTTCTTGTTGTTGCTTCTTTCATTTCTTACATATTGAATTTTAATGTATTACAATTTTAATTCCATAAGAGTAAAAATGTAATGCAATAAAATGCACAGTGTAAGAAATAAAAGAAGGAATACAAATACAATAAGAAATCAAAATGAATATTCAAATCCACAGACATGCTGTGGAGCATATTAATGCAGCTTGTGGACTCTTGGTGGCCATGGATTATATCTGGGAACGCTTGATCTATGGACCTTTTAAGAATTTATGTGCAGAAGAAATCCTTGAAACAATATATTTTTGGTATTCTCTCCAACAAAACTACTGATCATATTAAAGGTTAGTGTGTATCCTATCAGAAATTTAGTTACGCAGTTCTCAATCCAATTAGTTTCAGCCAATTAGTCAAGAATTCTCTTCTGCTTGGTCACATTGCCAATGAAAATTATTTTTCTTTTTTTATAAAAATTAACCGATTGTGAAATAACTGGGGGAATTTCCATATTCATTATCTCATATAAAAGTTTGTGATATTCTACCCATCGATGGATGTGGAAACAAATAAAGAGACCTCAGTGGAACAAATAGCAGATCACCAACCTTTTGCCTTTGAGAGAGAGATCTGACTCTTTGGGAGTAGGTGAGATTCTTGTGGTTGAAGGGAAGCCTGTCTGAGCAGGTGCAAAATAGTTATTTAAGGCCATGTGCTAACTGCAGAAATACCTTTTATCATCTTAATTTGATATGCCACCTTCTTAGAAAGCTACTGTCTCAAGGCAGAGATCTATAGTGTTCTGTCCTCAAGGAGTGACAACCACAATGTGCTTTACGTGAGACTGCTGTTAGACTGGTGACTGGCAGTGGCCGCCGACACCATATAACACCGGTCCTGAAAGATCTTCATTGGCTCCCAGTACGTTTCCAAGCGCATTTCAAAGTGTTGGTGCTGACCTTTAAAGCCCTAAACAGCCCTGTATCCCTGAAGGAGCGTCAACCAGCCTGGACACTGAGGTTCAGTGCCAAGGGCCTTCTGGCAGTTCCCTCCCTGTGAGAAGTGAGGTTACAGGGAACCAGGCAGAGGGCCTTCTCGGTAGTGGCACCCACCCTGTGGAACGCCCTCCCACCAGATGTCAAGGCAATAAACAACTATTTTACTTTTCAGAAGAAGGCGGTCCTGTTTAGGGAAGTTTTTAAAGTCTGATGCTGTATTGTTTTTAATATTCGGTTGGAAGCTGTTGTTGTTATTATTATTATTATTATTCTTATTATTTCTTCAAAAGCTTCAGCTAACCCTGCAGCACATCCCCCCCCCAAGTATGGCTTCTTATATTTCCAAAAATGGCACCACCCATGAACCGGACAATGGTTCTGCGGCTCAAGAAAATCATTGGGTTTGCAGAAGTGCACAAAAAACCCTTTAGAAAATGCATTAGGCTGTGTGGAGGACACACCCCAAAATGTCACATTGAGGGCTGCGAAGTTTTTTTGGGACACAGCCTGCTGGTGGGAGGAGGTGGAAAACCAGTTAGGAGGTGGAATGTTATGAAGCACCCTGATAGTTGTCCTGGCTGACTGGCTAGAGCCCTGAATTGCGAGTGACACTTGCCCAGCCCAGACGGCTTACACTGCAAAACTGAAACCACAAAAGATTCAAAAGAAACACAACCTGCAGCTGGCAGAGTAGATCATGTTCTGTCCATTCCCAGTAACATCCAGCTGGGTGGCCTTACATTATAAGTTCTAAGACTTTCCTGGGCTGCAGCATTCATCTCTCTCACACACCTTATGGCTCCAATGTTTCCTGAGGGATGAGTCAAATCAAAATGCCCCTACGAGCCAGTACTTGACGCTTCCAAAATATCCTGAATATAACTAATCTCTTCTCTCACTTTTTTTATCTGAATGGCAGTTGGCAAAGCAATATGGGAACATTTGCACGGTATGGATTGGGCCTATACCTGCAGTCATACTGTCCGGCTACAAAGCAGTTAAGGAAGCCCTAATCAACCATTCGGATGATTTTGCTGACCGCCCAGAAACTCCTTTCCTTAAAAGTGCAGCAAAAAATAGGGGTAAGTTCTTGGTTTGAGTAGGAGGTTTTCTCTTAGCCTTTTCTCCAGTGAAGGAAACAAAGGACCCTTCCATATGGGACGTACCTTTTCCCCATGGGCGTCTTCTTCTGCAACATGTCATTGATGCAAGAGTAGTGATGGATTTATACTGGACAATCCACACCGCTTTATTAGTTGTTCTGCTTTCCCAGTGTTGCTGCATTATCCAATCAAAGCTGGACAACCCTCCGCCCGGAACATTTGCGGAAGGGAAAATTACAGGATTTCAGCAGGAAGTAACAGGACATGCACTGATGGGAAAGGGAGCAGCTTGGGCCCCTCTAAACATCCTTTCTTTGTGCATTCAATGATGGTTTGCGCTCTTGATGCTTTTGGAGTGGCCACAAAGAAGCTCTTCTTTCAGTGTTGTTTGTACCTGCAAAGTTTTGGGGCAGTGACTCACTCCCAGTCTGTACATATTGATTAAAGAGCTGCAGTTCCATATTGGAACTGGTACTGCAGTGTAAAAAAAGAAGAAGCTAGAAGTACTAGCATTGTAACAAGTAAAACTAATGTAAAGAATTCTTTTAACAGTAGTTTTCGCATGCACTAATTTTCTCTGATTCTTGATGGCCCCAGGTATTCTGCAAACCTTAGGACCCCACTGGGCATGCTGATACCTCCCTGCTGTTAGCCTCATTTTGGCTCCAATCCTGTTGGTACTCAGTGCTTGAGTTTCGTAATAGAGGGAGTGATGATGAAGGTCTTGTTTCTCATATGCATTTTCTGAAACATTCACTGGTGTCCCACATCAGATATATAACACTCCACAACGAAAAAATTGATTCTGCACCAGTTTTCCTGTTCTTAGGTTCTTTAACGCCTAGGCATGGACTGCACTGCTGTCTTCTAGGCTGCTGATGTAATAGCTTTTATATGAATTTTGTAAGCAATAATTTCTCACTGGTCTGTGATGGTTTTAGGTATTGTACTTTCAAATGGTCACACCTGGAAGCAGCAGAGACGGTTCAGCGTGGTTACTATGCGGAAGCTGGGGCTGGGGAAGAAAGGCATGGAGCACCAAATAGAAGAGGAGGCCATTGAGCTTGTGGAGATCTTTGCACGTGCAAAGGGTATGTGATAGAAGAAAATGAGGCTAACTCAGGCTGGTTTGTTATCCACCTCTGCCTGAGAAAATCTGCGGGTTGGGGCAACTTCCTGGGACTCACAGCAGAAGAGTGGACTGAACAAAGACATTGGATTCTTATCTCATTATACATGACTAAGCCATTTTTCACCTTCTCACCCCTTGCCTTTTCCTGTAAGACCTATTGCAGTCGTTAAGAGTCGTCAACAGGCTCATCTCAGCTATCTGCCAGTCTCCCATTCCCACCACCCTTCTGAGTAATACCCCTCCCCACCTTCTCACTATATAGAAGGATCTGGCAACTTCTGTTTCAGTGTATCTGAAGAAGTGTGCATGCACACGAAAGCTCATACCAAGAACTAACTTAGTTGGTCTTTAAGGTGCTACTGGAAGGAATTTTTTTATTTTGAGCAGAAGAGTGGTTCAGTTTTGGAAGCTGAGAGAGAAGAGTCCACTGGCATCCTGTAAAATGGGTAGGGATTGCTTGGGAATACAAATATTTAGCAGCCGCAGTGCAAAGAGTCAGTGCCTAGTTTGCATCCTGCTGGTGTAAAAAAATAATAATAATCATGGGAGATGATGGATTGCAGAGGTGACAGGACTTGCTGTTGTTTGAGACCATTACATTGTCTGTGAATTGTGCAATTGTCTCACCCTGATTTTATTAAGTAGGCAAAGTGTGTTAAACTCTTTTTTAAACTAAGGAACTTTCTTAATGGTTTATAATGACAATGGCCAGGTAAGGCTACAATTAGCACAGTAAATTCAAAATGTTTATTTGAGTGTTAATTTAGTTTATAATGAAAGGAAGTTGAAATTAATGAACAGGGTTGGGCTTGGGTCACTATACAATATATTCTCAAGCTCTGGCAATAATTTGCAGTTGACAGCAACTAATTAGAGTGATGCATACAATGAACTTTCGGCTGGATCCAGGAGTGACTTGTATGAGCAGAAAGGCGCTTGTACTTGAGCTTGGTGCTCTCATCTCCAGATTCTGCAGATTCTCCCTGCTGCTGCAGCCTGGTCGTGCTCCATCACTCACCATTAAGGAGAGTTCCCTGATCCTGAAGAGCAAATTGTTGAGAAAGCAAGAAATGCAGTGGAGTGTGTGTGTGTGTGTGTGTGTGTGTGTGTGTGTGTGTGAGTGTGTGTGTGTGTGTGTGTGTGTGTGTGGAGTGAACTGGCAGTAAATCACACAGTGCAATTTGGAGTTAGCTCTTTATTAGCAAAAACATGATCTGCATGGACTTGACGGAGTGTCAGGTTTAATGAGCACAGCCACCCATCCCCGGCAGATCTTGTCTGCATGGAGCAGTTCCTGAGACTGAAGGTCCCTGCGTTCCCACTGCTGCCTAAGTCCCCTCCTCTCCAGGGTTTTTCCCCAAGCAATCGGAGACTATGCCTACATGCAGCCAATCTCTCCTCTGCCCTTTTCATGCCTCTTCTGGTTCTGGGAGAGCAGAGGGAAGGGGCAGACACCAGTGACTCTTCACCAGCCTGACTCATCTCTGTCTCTTGGCCTCTTTCTTCCCACTCTCCTGCTTCAGCTTCTGCCTCTGATTCTGGACTTCTCTGTGCCACAGACCCTACCAGCTCACTAAGCCCAGTTATCTCCTCATTCTTCTGTCCCATTCTTCTGTAAAATGGATGCCTAATTGATTCCAATTTGGAAACAAACAAACAAACAAACAAACAAACAAACAAACAAACAAGAACATATATTGGAATAACAATGGAGATAAGGAGCAAGAAAGACTGATTAACCAATCACAATTTCTCCTTTTGCATAGCAAAAGAATAATAAGTGTGTTTGTGTATGTGTGTATGTATGTATGTGTATATATGTAGATGTGTGTGTGTGTGTGTGTGTGTGTGTGTGTGTGTATATATATATATATATATATATATATATATATATATATTGCACCATAACACTCACTTTTTTCCTCCTAGAAAGTAAGGGGAAATGTCTGTGCGTGCTATGGAAGGAATGCCTACGGGTGGCATGCCTACGGATTTTCCTCCTCTAAAAACTACGTGCGTGTTATGGTCGGGGGCGTGTTATAGAGTGAAAAATACGGGTATATATGAGCATTGGATCTCATTAAGATTTCATCTGCAGGGCAGCCATTTGACCCATCCTTACACATCATCAATTCAGTCTGCAACGTGATATGTGCCGTGTCCTTTGGATACCGATTTTCTGTTGAAGATAAAGAATTCCTGAGGCTGATGGAAGCCATTCGGATTAGCTTACAGTTTGGAGCCAGCTTCTTTCATGGCGTGAGTAGGTTGAAGCTTAGGCTTGGTGGTGGGCGGGTGGAGGAGAGCATGAGATGGGAGGCCCGTGAACTGTGGTTGCCTACAGTAGACATCAGTTTAAACTGGGATAGCCAGCAATGTCAACTCCAGATGCTGTGGACTACCACTGCCATCGGCCCCAGGCAGCATGGCCAATGATCAGGAATGATGGGAGCTGTAGTCTAAATCATCTGGGCAACACCACATGGGTTACCCCTGTAACCTTATAAATGTGAACAATACTGAATTTCTCCTCCATCTCACCCTTCAGACACTCAGGGTGAAATTTCTAGCCCTAAAGAACAAGCCAAAGCATGAGGTTGGAGTTGACTTGTGGGTTGTGTTGCTGATAGGATGTGCCTTTTCTTTCCTTGTAGCTCTACGAAATTCTCCCGTCTGTCATGAAATTTCTCCCAGGGCCTCACAAGACCGCATTGTCCTCCATGGAGATGGTCTTTTCATTTGCGAAGGATGAGATAGCAAAGCACAAGGAAGACCAGACTGTGCATGAACCAATAGACTTCATTGATTTCTATCTATCTCAGATGGAGAGGGTAAGGAACTGCTTTGTGGGTGAATGCTTCTTCTTCAAGGAATCGTTGCATTCTCTGTTACGATCGAACAGTAACATCTGCGGGACCACTGGGAATCCCCCCTGCCCTTATTAGTCAGCCGCCGTGCAGTGAAATGGTTGGAGAAAGTAGATCTTTTCATCTCCTTGACAGTCTAGGACAGGCTTCCTCAACCTCGACCCTCCAGATGTTTTGAGACTACAGTTCCCATTATCCTTACCTTACCTTTCTCGTCCTTATCTGGCCACAGTGATCCATGCTATGGTTACTCCAGGCTTGATTATTGTAACTCGCTCTGCACGGGGCTTCCCTTGAAGCTGACCCTGAAACTCCAGTGGGAGCAGAATGCTGCGGGGAGGCTCCTTACGGGGTCCTTGCCGCGGGGTCACATTCACCCAGTGCTTTACCAACTGCACTGACTCCCGGTGGAGTACAGGGTCAGGTTTAAGGAGCTGGTCTTGACCTTTAAAGCCCTAAGCGGCCGAGGACCCAAGTACCTATGGGACTGCCTCTCCTGGTGTGCCCTGCGGAGGACCTTAAGGTCCACAAATGAGAACATTTTGGAGGTCCCAAGTCGCAAGGTGGTTAGGTTGGTCTCAGCTAGGGCCGGGGCCTTTTCAGTACTGGCCCCGACGTGGTGGAACGCTCTGTCACAAGAGACTAGGGCCCTGCGGGACTTGACATCTTTCTGCAGGGCTTGCAAGACAGAGCTGTTCCGCCTGGCCTTTGGTTTGGACTCAGTCTGACCCTTATGTTTCCCTCCCCGTATGGTTTTGATCTATGGGCTACTATTAAAATGAGGCTGCATTTTAAATTATATTTTAACCTGTATTTTAACCTGTTTTTTCCCCCTATTATGATTTTACTGTAATTCTACTGGTGTTATCCGCCCTGAGCCTGGCTCTGGCTGGGGAGGGCGAGGTATTAATAATAATAATAATAATAATAATAATAATAATAATAACCATCATCCCTGACCTACAATTCCTGCTAGCTAGGGATCATGGGAGTTGTAGGCCAAAAACACCTGGAGGGCCGAGGTTGAGGAAGCCTGGTATAGGAACATAATAAGAGCTGCTGGGTCAGGCCAATGGCCCGTCTAGTCCAACATCCTGCTTTCACAGTGGCCAACAGGATGCCTGTGGTAAACTAGCAAGCAGGATTCAAGCACAACTCTCCCCTCCTGTGATTTCCAGCAACTAGGATTCAGAAGCGTTGCTGCCTCCGACCAGGGAGGAACAGCATAGACATCCTGGCTAGCAGCTATTCATAAAAAGGTAAAGGGGCCCCTGACTGTTAGGTCCAGTCATGACCGACTCTGGAGTTGCAGCGCTCATCTTGCTTTATTGGCCAAGGGAGCCGGCGTACAGCTTCCAGCTCATGTGGCCAGCATGACTAAGCTGCTTCTGGCGAACCAGAGCAGTGCACAGAAACGGCGTTTACCTTCCCGCCGGAGCGGTACCTATTTATCTACTTGCCCTTTGAGTGCTTTCGAGCTGCTAGGTTGGCAGAAGCAGGGACCGAGCAACAGGAGCTCACCCCGTTGCGGGGATTCGAACCGCCGACCTTCTGATTGGCAAGTCCTAGGCTGTGTGGTTTAACCCACAGCGCCACCCGTGTCCCTTAGCAGCTGTTCATAGTGCTCTTTTAAAGCCATCTAGGTTAGTAGCAATTGCTCTCTCTCATGGGAGGGAGTTCCATAGCTTACCTATGTGCAGAGACTGGAAGGCCACCTGCCATGAATGATCTCGTTGAGATTCCTGCATTGCAGGGGGTTGGACTAGATTCCCTACAATAAGAATGGGGTTTTCCTTCCAGACTGTCATTGTTGGTTTTTTGGATGGGATTCAATTGCATACAAGCAAATTTAGGGGGCACGATTATAGAGGATTGTTGGAGGTTTTGAACAATGATCTACTCCCCCCCCCTTAAGATACGGAAAGTGACAGGGAATTGCATTTGGTAGTGCGGGGTAACAATTGCTTCGATGCAACAGCATCTAACCTCCTCACAAACAAATCAGGATGAATGCTCAAGGAGCAGGTCACCTGGAAACTGATGGAGGTAAGTCTTAGTTGATTAACTGTATGCACTTATGTTGATTAATCAATAAAATTTACGTACGTACAGTGGTGCCCCGCAAGACGAATGCCTCGCAAGACGAAAAACTCGCTAGATGAAAGGGTTTTGCGTTTTTTGAGTCGTTCCGCAAGACGAATTTCCCTATGGGCTTGCTTTGCAAGACGAAACGTCTTGCGAGTTCTTGCGAGTTTGTTTCCTTTTTCTTAAAGCCGCTAAGCCGTTAATAGCCGCTAATAGCCGCCAAGCCGCTAATAGCCGTGCTTCGCAAGACGAAAAAACCGCAAGACGAAGAGACTCGCGGAACGGATTAATTTCTTCTTGCGAGGCACCACTGTAAATGCAAAAAAATAATAGTTTTGAAGCAAAAAGTATACTTTTCTGATTTAGCACATCTGTGTCACAAGCAGGCATAATCTCAGGAAAGGCACCCCCTCATTTAAAGAGGCACTTCACTGCCTGCAATTTTTATTAATACTTGTATATTATATGGAATGCCCATTTTCCAGGGCTTATACTGGTGTAAGATCCGCTGGTCTTAGCTTAGCCGACTGGGGCCTGTGAGTCACTGTGAACTGAATCTAACCTTCGCTATTGCTTACAACAGAACAAGGATGACCCCTACTCTACCTACAATGAGGACAACCTGGCTCAGTGTATTTTTGACCTCTTTATTGCTGGAACAGAGACAACTGCTACCTCTCTGCAATGGGCACTGCTCCTCATGGCGACACATCCAGATATTCAAGGTGAGAGGGAACTGTGCAATGGCAGCAAGAGGCCATTTTGACCTCTTATCTTGGACCTGAATTCCTTTCAGATTGGCCCCCATCCAGCCCATCACTACTTCCAGGCAAACACCTTCAAAACTTCTCTTGATTCAGATGGAATGGAGATACAGAGCTGTGTGTCACCAGCAAACTGACAGCACCATGCTCCAGATCTCTGGAAGATCCGTGCAGATCTTGCTGCCAGAGGCTATCCCTCTGAAAATCATTATTCAGCCCCCCCCAGCAGGTCTAGGTGGAATACTAGGTGGAACAAATACCCCTTAATGATTGATCAACTTGTTTCACTTGAGATGTTTCATCCAAAACAAAGCTTAATTCTCCACCATTTTCCTCAGAGAAAGTCTACCAGGAGATGGAAGATGTTTTCGGTTCATCTCACTCAATCCGCTATCAAGATCGGAAGAAGCTGCCCTACACCAATGCTGTGATTCACGAGATCCAGCGTTCAAGATATATCTTATTATTTGGGGTTCCAAGGCAAACTGTGAAGGACGTGAACTTGCACGGTTTTCACATTCCAAAGGTATAGATGATTGTAACAGCTGCATTTCTATAGCTCAGGGGGAAGGTCACAAGATCACAAGAGAGGTAGATTCCCTTGCAGTGCAAATTCTGTAGAAAGTAACTATAGCTCCTTCCATTTCCAAAAAAGAGAGGGGAGTTCATGCAGGGACATCTTGTGCTGTGTCCTCCAGATGTGGACCACAACTCACATTATCTGTGACCCCCATCATTGATCTATGTTGGCAGGGGCTGTTGGGAGTTATAATCCGCAGCAGGAGCGGTTGGTGAGGAGAGGTGCAGCTGCACACCTTGCCTATCAGCAGCAGAGTTGCTCCTGCTTCCTGGGAGGAAGAGGGATGAGATGACAGGGGAGATAGCATCTGCGCAGGCACATTGGAGGGAGTGCCCCAGAAATGCACACGATCGCTTCTGCGGAGCTTCTTCACAATTTGCATCCTTCCATCAGCACTCAAGACTTTTAAATTCATGAAATGCAAATCTGAAAATTCATAATTTTTAAAGAAAGAAAATGCAATTCTTCAGTTCCAGCAGAATGAAGCTTGTATGTAAAGATTAGTGGATATAATAATAATAATAATAATAATAATAATAATAATAATAATAATGATGTTTATACCCCACCCATCTGGCTGGGTTTCCCCAGCCACTCTGGGTGGCTCCCAACAGATTAAAAACAGAATAAAACATCTAACATTAAAAACTTCCCTAAACAGGGTTGCCTTCAGATGTCTTCTAAAAGTCAGATAGTTGTTTATTTGATTGACATCTGGTGGGAGCGTGTGCCACAGGGCGGGTGCCACCACCGAGAAGGCCCTCTGCCTGGTTCCCTGTAACCTCACTTCTTGCAGTGAGGGAACTGCCAGAAGGCCCTCAGAGGTGGACCTCACTGAGCGATGCGGGTGGAAATGGGGGAACTGAAGGGCAAAAGTGCAATGTTCTGTTTAGATGCATCCTGAGACAAGTCTTCTTTCCCTGCAGGGGGCTGTGATTGCTCCAGATCTCCGCTCTGTTCTTCTTGATCCTAAGGAATGGGCAACACCTAAAAAATTCAACCCAAACCATTTTTTGGACGAGGACGGGCAGTTTGTGGACAGAGAAGCATTTCTGCCATTTGGTGCAGGTATGTGCAAGTAGCCCCAACTGTCGCATTCAGACAACACTTTATTCCATTTTCTTGATGTTTTCTTACCAGATGATTTTCACATTCTGTGTGATCTTCCACTCAACATAAATGCCACTTCTGCAGATGTAGCAAAATCTAGTGGAAGTTTAGCGCTCGTTTCAATTTGTTTCCAGAAAGCAACCTGTTCTCAGCTCTGTTAGCACGGAAAATAGAGTCGCAAAATTTGGGGTGCTGTTCCAACAAACAGTTCTCTCCCACCATTTTCATTGGTGCATCATGGCAGAATAGAAGCACACATGCGCCCTAAAGACTAGCATTGGATACAACCCAATAAAAATAATTATAATAAGTACTGTATTTTTCGCCCTATATGATGCACTGCCCCATAAGGCGCACCTCGTTTTTTTGGGGGGGAAATAAATGGGGAAAAAATTATTTGCCCCCTAGGCGCGGGGCTGGGGCGGGGGAAGCCTGAGCTTCCCCTGACCCCAGCCCCCAAACAGGCAGCTCTCTGCAAGCCATGGGAGCCCAGCGCCGGCTCCCGCCGCTTGCTGAGAGGTGCGCGAAGCCTGGACGCACTGAGCTCAGCGCGCGCAGGCTTCAGCATGCAGGCAACTCTCCACAAGCCGCGGGAGCCCAGCGTCAGCTCCCGCGGCTTGCGGAGAGCTGCGTGAAGCCTGGAGAGCGAGAGGGGTCGGTGCGCACCGACCCCTCTCGCTCTCCAGGCTTCAGCGAAAGCCTGCATTCGCCCCATAGGACGCACACACATTTCCCCTTCATTTTTGGAGGGGAAAAAGTTCGTCCTATAGGGCGAAAAATACGGTATTATTATTAGTAATAACTAGTATCATTCGTAAAAACAATGGTAATTATTAAATACTACTATTAGCACTACTAGCTAAGGATAGAGATTTTAGCATACAGTTTAAACATGTAATTTTAGTACATATAATTCTTTTTAAATTACTGGTTTGATTCTTTATATTGCCTTCATTATGAACCTTGTTTTCCGTGTTTGCTTTTACTGGTATTTTTAATGAACACTTTAGATTGTCTTTTGTAAGCCGCTTAGAGGTATTTCGTTTGAGGAAGCAACTAAAGCAACTTTTACTAGACTCAGGAATTTGGGGAGATCTGGCCTCCCGCAAACCCATAACAGGGAGATTTAAATAAACACATTACGGAAATAAAATAAGTTACCAGTCCTGATCTCATGCTGAGCCAGGTCTTGGCAGGCCCTGGAATAAAGCCCTCTTTCTCAGTGACATCCCCACACCCCAAAGTTGAAAGGGAGGCATGGGGGATTGGGAATCGTAGAAAGAGGAGTTGCTGCAGGATGCTTTCATAGACTGAATGAGGCCTTGACCCAGATTCTTTTCTCAGAGTCAAAGCAAATTGGTGCCCTGGGTAAATACTCTGGGGTATAGGTGGAATAGCAGATAATTCAGTTCCTGCTTTCCTCTTTTTTTATTTTCCTGCAGGTGCTCGGGTGTGTCCAGGGGAGCAACTGGCAAAGATTGAGCTCTTCATCTTTTTCACCAGCCTGCTGAGAGCATTCAGGTTCCAGCTGCCAAAAGGTGTGAGAGGAGTCCATAAGAAGCCTATAATAGGGCTGACGGTCCGTCCTCGCCCCTACAAACTCTGTGCTGTTCCCCGCTGCAGCCACATAAACAATTAGGGGGGCTGATCAACTACTGCAATCTCCTCCTTTAATCATTTCCTGCCATCCTCACATTCTTTCTTGGCTTCCTCAATTGAGCTTCTCCAATCTCTGATGCCACTGGTTAATAAAAGAATTACCACCAGCCCAGAAAATATTCATTGTTCCTCATTCATTGCTTGTGCACAAGTATCTGGGACCGATTTCTTGCAGTTCTCCTGTGTGTTTTAGAGACGGCAAGGGGTTAACTGAATAAACTATTTGGTCAGATCTGTGTTCTGAGCTGTGAGTGTATTATTTGATAAAGAATGAGCTGTTATATGCCACCCCAATCTCTGTGAGCGCTACAAGATTCCGAGGGTTACAGGCACACTTATCAGAGTCTGTGTTCCCTTTCAGGACAACGAGACACAATAGAAACTGTGGTGTCTTTATGATAGATTGTTTATTTTCATGTATGTACAACCTGAGCCAACGGTGGATAGGTTCCCAGCATTACACACTCCAAGAGGATCTTTTGCTTCTCTCATAGGTGCAGCAGCCAATCTCCTGCTTTCCTATTGGCTGTCATGTTGGATCCCAAGTTGGTAGCACCCATTGGTAGCTTTGCCCCCCCTCCCCGCCTGCTTGCCAAACTGCTTGCAAAATGCAACTATTTTCCTTTAGCTTATATCACTGCCCACCAGGGACTTCCCCTTCCCTTGCTTGTAGCTGCAAACAGACCCAGAGGGGTTTTCCTTTTGCCCACATCAGGCCAACACCATTCCTGAAACTTAACTCTGCTTTTGTCTCTGCTAACCACCCCCTGAGTAAGCGGATGTTCTTCTCTGGAAGATCTCCAGAACTCATCTCTATTGTGGCCACCTAGCAGCCTGATGTGCAATTACAGCTACATCACCAGTTCTAATCATTTATGTCCCTGTACAACTCATAGCCACTGTGGTTTTAAACTTGTTCATTTCCTGTTGATGGAAAAGCTGTAGATGTTACGGATGACCTGACCTGCTCCTATGGATCAGATAAGAAACTAAATAACTGATCAAGCTGGCCGTAATGAGGTCACCACAGGTGTCCTGTACTAGCCTACACATAAAATCTTCTTCACAATTTTCTATTTCCTTCTGGAAATAGTCCTTTTGAAAATAGCAGGAGTAGCAAGAAGGAGCAAATAATTTACTCGATGAGTATTGAAGAAGGCAAGCTGCCACCTGGTGTATACAAAGTACAAAACTGGGTTTACTAACCACAAAAATGGGTTGTTCCACTGCCCTCAGAAGCTTGGGGTGGTGGCAGCCCAGGAAAGGCATGTTTTGTAGCGGCTCCTAAGTTGTAGAACTCCCTCCCACCTCTTTACCCTAGTTTTTGACACGTGAGATGCGTATATTTTTAGAACCCACCTTATTTTTATAATGTAAAGTTGTTTTTCTAGGGAAACCCAGCCAGATGGGTGGGGTATAAATCATCATTATCATCATTGTGTAATATTGCATTTTAACCTTAATATTGAGTGTTAATTGTTGTAACCCAACCTTGGAACTCAGGGTGAAGGGCAGGTAAAAGATTGTAATAAATAACAGCGACAACTTGAATGCTGCAATTCAGAGCTTTCCTCAGCACAGAACTCTTATCTAGTTGTATGCTATAGCACTTGGACTTACATGCATCAACCTCTGCTGTCCCCCCTCCCCCCATTTACTGAAGAACGTAATTACAGTGCTACCTTGGTTCTTGAACTTAATCTGTTCCGGTAGTCCGTTCGATTCCCGAAACCAAGGCGTGGCTTCCGATTGGCTGCAGGAGATTCCTGCACTCAAGCGGAAGCCACATCGGACGTTCGGCTTCTGAAAAACGTTTGCGAACCAGAACACTTACTTTCGGGTTTGCAGCATTAAGGAGTCAAAATATACGAGTACCAAGGCGTTCGAGAACCAAGGTGCGACTGTAAAACTGTCTCACAGGGGATTTGTTCAGGTGGAATAAATTATCTCCAGTTTAATTGCTGGATCTATGAGAGAATGGGTTGCTATCAACTTCTGCCTGCTGACAAGTTTGAACAGAGTGTGTGTCTCCTTTTGTTTCTTCAGGGTGAAACATTACATTGCATTTTGTTTTTCAATCACATAATGACAAGTATGATGGAGGGCTGTCAGTGATTGCTTACTACCCACATGGATGGAAGCTGGGCTTCTGCCTCAGTGGAGTCCACGTCAAGGCCAGCAAAGAGGGGGAGTGCTGCATCTTACACACACACACACACACACACACACACAGAGAGAGAGAGAGAGAGAGAGAGAGAGAGACCATGTCCCACTATCAACATGAGTAGAAATGGGCAAATCTGTCCATTTTGGATTATGGTTAGGATGGTGCTGTTAGTTACTATATGCTCTTTCACCACCTGTAAACAGTTTTAAAGGGAATTCTACAGGCTAGGTTGCTTCTGCCATCTAGGGTTGAAACTCGGTTACTTAACTGAGCCCCAGTGCTAAACACAATTACTAACAGGGTGAAGGTTTAATCCCATGTAAACTCACTTGGAGACCAGCCGCATTAAGGATGCACTTCTTATTTGTAATTGCCATCCTCACCACCCTCACACGTGTGCCACCATTGCATAAGGTTATGTGGGCAGGAGTGATTTTATCCCACAGTAACTGCATGTTCTTACACAAGTCTACTTATAATCATACTGTAGCATTGTAGAGTTGGACGGGCCCCAATAAGTAGGTTTACTTCCTGATAAGTCTAGATACAGGTAGGTAGCCGTGTTGGTCTGCCGTAGTTGAAACAAAATAAAAAAATTCCTTCCAGTAGCACCAGAGAGACCAACTAAGTTTGTTATTGGTATGAGCTTTTGTGTGCATGCACACTTCTTCAGATACACCAGGATTGTGCATGCACAGGAAAGCTCATACCAATAACAAACTTAGTTGGTCTCTCTGGTGCTACTGGAAGGAATTTTTTTATTTTGTTCCTGATAAGTGTGTAGGATTGCAGGCTAATTGGGTGTGTCTTAAACAGGACACAGAACAACAAAACAAACCCACCCATCCCTTCTTCAGCCATCTCCCCCCACCCCATTACAGTGGTCAGGCTGTCCTGGTCCAGCTGGTAAAAAGCACTCCTAGCCACTGAAGGAGCATATCCACCCACATTGTTCAGCCTGGACACTGAGGTGCAGCTCCAAGGGCCTTCTGGTGGTTCCCTCACTGTTGGAAGTGAAGCTACAGGGAAACAGGCAGAGGGCCTTCTCGGTAGTGGCGATCACCCTGTGGAATGCCCTGCCTTCAGATGTCAAGGAGATGAGTAACTATACAGTGGTACCTTGGGATAAGAACTTAATTTGTTCTGGAGGTCTGTTCTTAACCTGAAGCACCACTTTAGCTTATGTGTCCTCCTGCTTCCACTGCGCCGCCGCTGCACAATTTCTGTTCTCATCCTGAAGCAAAGTTCTTCACCTCTAGACTATGAACCTGCTATTTCAAGGGTAGTACATCCCCATGCAAAGAAAGTAATGGAACAATTATCTGGACCACCTACTTTCAGGAAGCACCTGCTCACAGAGCCTCAGTCTTGCCAGGTTTTAGAGTCAGGGCTTATCCATCCTTACCTTTCCTCTGTTCCTTCTAGGCACAGCCAGTGCTCTGTAGCTTTTCCTATCAAAATCCGCTCCTTAAAGCTCAACCAGAGTGAACGGCAATCTGCAGAGAACCTAAATTGACATTTCTTCTGACCGAGCGCTAAAGAGTGGTCCCTGGCTGATGAATATAGATAATAAAAATAATAAATTATTTATACCCTGCCCTTCCCGGTTTAAAAACCAGGCTCAGGGTGGCTAACAGCAAATATAAAACATTGATTAAAATGCAACTTAAAAACAGCATAAAATGCAACATAAATGCAGCATCAATGTCAATAAAATTCAAAAATTCAATAAAATTCAAAAATTTACTGACCCCCAGTCAGTAAATATCAAATGATACCAGGGCTAACTGGCCAAGTTGGTCCTACTAGGGCCAGCAAGGAGACTAGGGAAGAGTTCAAATGTGGGGTCACCTAAAGACAACTTGGTCAGGCCCTGATAGTCTTCCTTCACTCCATTTCAGTCTCTGTATCACCGCCCCATAGTCCCAAATAATTGCATCTGTTCCCTTAAGGTGTATGAGGTGTGAGGGGGGGGGGTTATTACCTTTGGTGGGGAACACACATGCTCCTTCGGGGGTAGTTTTGGTTCCCACCCTGCTATCAGCTCTCACCTGTAGTTCCTAGAAGCTCCTAGAAGCTGTCAGCAGCCACACCTCTGGAAACGGCTTTGACTGGATGGCACAACTGTTGAGTAATTTATTGCCCAGATAAGCCTGGCATCCGGCCCGCTTCCAAAGCTGCGCCAGGCCTCTGCATCGCAGTCTGCATTCCAAAGCTCTGAGCAATAGCAGAGTCTGGCATCATTCAGAGAAATCAGCTTCTGTGCTTCAGTGTGCATAAACAGAGTCTCACACAGAGGTGTTGTTGTTTAGTCATTTAGTCGTGTCTGACTTTTCGTGACCCCCTGGACCAGAGCACGCCAGGCACTCCTCCCACAGTTTGGTCAAACTCATGTTTGTAGCTTCGAGAACACTGTCCAACCATCTTGTCGTCTGTCGCCCCCTTCTCCTTGTGCCCTCAATCTTTCCCAACATCAGGGTCTTTTCCAGGGAGTCTTCTCTTCTCATGAGATGGCCAAAGTCTTGGAGCCTCAACATCACAATCTGTCCTTCCAGTGAGCACTCAGGGCTGATTTCCTTAAGAATGGATAGGTTTGATCTTCTTGCAGTCCATGGGACTCTCAAGAGTCTCCTCCAGCACCATAATTCAAAAGCATCAATTCTTCGGCGATCAGCCTTTTTTATGGTCCTGTTCTCACTTCCATACATCACTACTGGGAAAACCATGGCTTTAACTATACGGACCTTTGTTGGTAAGGTGATGTCTCTGCTTTTTAAGATGCTGTCTAGGTTTGCCATCGCCTTTCTCCCAAGGAGCAGGCGTCTTTTAATTTTGTGACTGCTGT